AAAAAATACATCCAGGCTAGTGAGATCACAAGTGCTTCAGGTTATGCACATTCACCACATGCAGCAAAGGGGTGTAGCCAGAGGCGCTGTAATGTAATAGCAGAGAAAGCTAAAATGCCGTCCAAGCTCTACTATTTTCACAGAGCTTGTTTTGTTTCTGTATTTGGGCTTCCAAAGGACACGACACAAAGAGATGAGCCTACAATTTCATTTAAATTATGTTCCAGAGAATTATAAAAAATATATAGCTAACTTTTAATGAAGGAGAGTTTCAACAATATCTCCCAGTTTAGTGCTGGATTTGGCTAAAAGCTCCTTAAAGAAGGAGCAGCTCCAACTATAATAGAAGAAGCTGTGGATTGTAAGCCACAACCTGTAAGTATTTTTATTTATTAAATTGATCTATGACTTGCACAGTTTCTAGCGTTAACACCATGTTGTAGCGAGGACATAGAAAAAAGGTGTAAACAATGGGAAATGCTGTTTGGCAGCGCTAACAGTTTAGCTACAAAATCATATTTATTGGTCAAACCGCTGTAAACAGTCAAAATCTTCACCAGCGCTGCAGTGTCTCTCTATGCAGCTGCTTTCCCTGCATTCTACATTTTAAAAAACAAACTCGCAAAAGATATGAGAACGTTTCATATCACATACACATGCTTATTCGGAATATATGTGAAAGACACTTGTCTGATTTTATCTTAGAGAGCAGGTGTGAGATTCAGCTGTGTCCTTTGTGTCTTTTTTTTTGGATTCAGGCACAAACTGATACGGTTAATAGCTACTGTAAATGTACTGTACATGCAAAAGTGCATGCTTGTAGGGGTGTGACACTTTTCCTGGTGAAGTGGAGCCGATCCGCGAACCACAGCACATTATGTTAGTTGACCAATCAGAGCCTCTTGAGGACGGGTCTTAAGGAGGAACTAGGAAAACTGACAGCCGTTTTCATGTTATTTGAGTAGCTTTATATAATCAAAGTAGAATATATGAAAAATAACATGATTTTCTACAAATGAAGCAAGAGCACACATTGCTTTGCATCTAATAAACACAACTAAGCCTTAAAATACACTCTAGACCACCCCCCTAATAAAAATAAAACAACTAAATATGTGCATTTTCTAAAACGTTTGGGGGAAATGTGAGTGTTGCTTGCCATGGAAAGTTGCTATGATTTTCTATTGCCAAGATTTTGCTATGGTGTTACAATGTAAGTGATACTAGGGTGTTGCTTTATGGTTGCTAGGATGATCTAGGTGGTTGGTGGGGTGTTGAAAAGCAGTTCCTAAGTTATTTTGGAAGTTGAGTGGATTCTAGAGAGTAGCTGGGCAGTTGCTAGCAAGCAGTTTGCGAAGATGATGTTAGGTACACATTAAAAAAGCTAAATGCTTACTTTTTAGGAAAAAAGTCCAAAATAATAATGCCAAAGACTTGCATCCCCCACTGTCACAATAATCAATATATTGACTTATCGGACAACATATGGCCATGACCTCAATAATCTTTGGTGATGCAATATATATCGCCTGTACAAAAAGCTGATTGTGCAACCTCTCTATCTCTATTGGAGGTGTCAGTGTCAGTATGGTTAAAAAACAACATAGTATTTACTATAAATGACTATCGTATATTTTCATGTTCTAGGTCTTTTTTACCTTGCAGCTTTTTGACAACATTTATCATTATTATTATTATTTATAATGTTTGTTTGTTTGGTATATACATTTTCACATTCTGATTCCAATACCTAATATTACATTGTTAAAATAACTAGAATAAAGTTAAATATTCTTATGAATAATATATCATGTGTTCTTTGGAGTAGCGTACTTATATTAGGATGCTATTATATTGTCATTTTGGCATAAATGAGTAGCATACAATGGTCTCACAATGAAAATAATATAATTTATCACAATATAGTTTGGTGCGATATATCGTACAACAAAAAGTAGATATCATGACAAATGTACACATACACACACGCGCCTATATAAGCATCCATGCGAGATAACAATAGTGAAACATTCAGAAGAACTACTAGTAATTAAACAAATAATAATCATAAATAACATTACTGCTGTTAGTAGTCGTAGTATTACATATTTGAATTGGAATATTTAATTGTTTTACATTAACCTAGGGCTTAGTGGCCACATATGTTGACAGCACATTTTAGCTTTTAAGTGGCGATTTAAAATACTTTGAATGTTTTATATTTTGTTATTTTTAACAGTCCAAAATGGGAAAAACTTTTTTTTAAAACTCTCTGATAGTCAAAACATGTTAAAATTATTAAAATGTTAAATATGCATTACAAAACAGTCAGAAAAAAAGTTTTTATGTAAATTCGGACCATGAGTCCACATATATGGACATAATTTTTCTCTAAAAGTATATCATATCAAAAGATGATACTTAGGTTTTTTTTTCTAATTAGGTTCCAATAGGCCCAAATAGCAAAGAGCAATAAAAAATGCATGTAAAAAAAAAACACCATGGCCCTTAAGAGGATAAAGGAAAAGAAATTTATGAAGTTTACCTGAAACATGGCAGGTTTGTCCTGAAAAAGCTGGGCAATGTATTTGTAATCAGCATAAGCCCAGAATTCTTTGCAGTGATAATCCAAAAATGGCCCAACTAATGGTTCACCATCATTAGCAGTCCAGGACAGAAACTCTTTAATGGTTGCTTCGACGTAGGAACACTCCGTTTCAAAAAGAGGAGCTGGTGTACACAAAGTGAAAGAAATTACTGAATAGGTTATGACCAATTATCCAAGAGAGTTCATTCAAAATGCACCAACTGGAAAATTCCTTCAAAAAGGTGAAAATAATTAAATTAGTTTCATTTTGTATTTCTAATATGACCCTGGCTTCAGTTGGCATGATTTAAAGTGATGAAACTGCATTACTATTCTTGATCAATAATTTTTAAAATAATTTTAGAAGTAAACTGATTGACATTTAATGTTTACTGCATATATTTAGATTTTATTTAAAGAAAACATGTAATAGATCATAGTTTGTTGTAACTTTTTGCCAGAAGGTCCTGAACTAACATTTTGGCACTTAATGTAGTGACCATAAATATGTTTCACAGGCGATGAAATGTATTATTATTTTTTTATAATGAATTAATCAATTAACAAAATACTTGACATCTGGTGAATCACTGTTTCCTATAATCTAGTGTTCATTTTAGACTCTAGTTTCTGCAGGCTCACTATTACAATACTTCTGTTTTCATTAAACAAGGTTAATAAATAGCACCCCGTGATAGAGGAAGTCTTATTATACAATTAAATGTGCTTTCTGTTGACATTCTTGGGATAAAGACTATTTATTTTACTGCAAGTATTCTACAAAAAGCAACTTCATTTGTGCCAGTATACACATTTCTACAGAACACTTATTAACATTTAGTTTCTGTTACACATCCAAATTTTAACATGCTTATTTTATTCCTGTCAATAATGCATACATACTGTAACATACATAAAACAGAACTTTTATCTCTCAGAAATAAAAGATGAGAATTTTATTCACCATCATGTAAAAAGGTGATATATATACATATTTAGTCTGATTTCTCAAGATAACACACTACCTCACTTAAATTGGAAGGGGAAATGGGAGGGATATTTGTGCTTTTGAGAAAGATGTATGACGCTACATTGAGGTAAAGTTGTTTTTTATTCGCACATTCGTCAAGTGTCAACTTGTGACATGCTTTGAATAGCTATTTTTTACCATTCTATTTTAAATATTCAGTCTGAAATCGCATGTAGGTATGACTACAAAACAACATTAGCACAATTTATTTGACTGTGAACAATGTTGAACTTTTGATAGTCATTGGTTGCTAATGTTTTCACTATTTACAATTTGCAAAGAATATTTTTCTGAAAATATAATACTAATAATAATAATATAATAATAATAAGGAGAAAGTCCAAATGTGCGAATTTCAAACCAACTTTAACTCAATGGATGCTAAATATGTGTTTCTCCGCACAAGTAACCTGAAATTATTGTAGTTGCTTGGGGGGATCTAGTCCTGTCCTGTATGTAACAACTGAATGGTTGAAACTAAACTTTAAAAAAATTATAATAATAATTAGGACCAGATCCCCTCTTATTTATTAAAGTTTTTAAGTTTAGTTTCAACCTTTTACTTGTTACATACAGTACATAAAAATTAACTACAAAAAAATGATGTTCTGTGCAACTTGAGTTTTTGGAGTCCAGTATTACTTGATACTCATCAATGCTTATTAAAGCATTAATGCTGTTGAGAGGATAATGTTTGTTGCTTACCCATATCCTCACTTCTTTTCCCAACCCGGAATCGTATCCTCTTTGTAAGGCAGGCTGACAGATGCTCTACAGTCCAGTGTAAAGCTGGCCAGTCTGTGGTCATGTTTAGAAACACAGCAGGTTTCTGTAGAACCTGGACAATTCTTCTCGCCTCTTCTGGTGTGAAAGGTTTTGAGGACATTCTAGAAAACAAAAACATATGGATGATTAAAATAAACAGATTTTGCTTTATACAACACACATAGAAAGTCCTGTCAGTCATTTTTATCTTCCAAATAAATGTAAGAGATTTATCACAGTGAGATTGTGATAGAGTCAAACCCAAAATCAAATATTAGCAGTTAGTTATAACAACTATCAACAGAATTGAATGGAGTTTATATTAAACTGTAAATATATTTACATTTTTGCATTCACACACATTTAGGCACATATAAGTCGCCCTTTCCTGCTAGTAAACAAAACTCACGTGAGACTTGCCGCTGTTTTTTTCTTTTACACGATAAACGAAACAACTGCCATGAAGGCTCCGGAGAAGAGCTGAAGTCGCATTCAAATAACCTGAATATTTGATCCAAGATGGAAGAAAAAGAGGCTTAGTTTCACATTTGACGTCAGTTCCGTGTCGACACAGCGCATGCGCAATAAAGTTTCCAGCGAGTGTCATCGGATGTTTTTGTTTCGATGGGCAGCTGACAATTGAGCGACTGCCCTAGTTTTTAATGTGCCATGATATAAACGTTGCTAGATAGCATAAAGACATTTTTTAACGTGATACCGTGTGTTCTCGATGGGTGCCGCAGAAAGCACCGAAGGGGAAAGGGAGCCTTTGCTGGTTCCAGCCCAGCCGGCGACAAACACCACAAGCACTCAGCCTGTTTTCAGCAGGGTGTACGGGAGACGATGGTTTGTTCTCACTATGTTTTCATTGTTGGGTTTTATGCAAGGACTCGTGTGGAACACCTGGGGCCCGATCCAGAACTCAGCCAAACATGTGTTCGAGTTCTCATCGACAGATATCGCCATTCTGGTGCTCTGGGGTCCAGTAGGTTACCTGCCCTGGCTGCTCTTTATGTGGCTGATGGACAAGAAAGGTCAGTTGTTTTGTGCTATGGATACAGTATATGGATACAGTATATATACAGTATATACATATAGATACAGTATATGGATACAGTATATATATATATATATATATATATATATATATATATATATATATATATATATATATATATATATATATACACACACACACACACACACACAAACAAGTTGCAGCAGATGATTTTGGTACGTTTGTTGTGTGGCAACAGTAATTACAGACTTGTGATGATTCACATGTATAAAATGAAATAGTTAAACTCAGTTTGGTTTATTTCATTGTGATATATATATATATATATATATATATATATATATATATATATATATATATATATATATATAAGTATATATATATATGTATGTATGTGTGTGTGTGTGTGTGTGTGTGTGTGTGTGTGTATATATATATATATATACACACACACGCACACACACACACACACACATGCCACTTCCAGATTATCATTTCAATTAAGTGTAATCATTTTTATCCTCATTATAGTTCTGTGCTACTGCTCTTTTTAGTGAGTTAAAGTTGGTTTTATATGCGCACATTCAGACTTTTCACTTTTATTAAAATACTGAAGCAGAATTTGAAAAGGCTAATACATATTAATTATCATGATTACATACACGAAACACTCATGTAGCATCCTACATCTTTCTCAAAAGCCCAAGTATTCATCCCATTTCCCCTTATTATTTAGATATACAAGTCTGTTGTCTCGAGAAATAGAATTAAAATGCTAAAAAAGACATGGATGTCAACAAATGTCTTGATGTGCCCATTATCCTTTTGATTCAAAATACACAATTCAGTTGGCATGCCTGAATACATAACTTCTCCAAAGTACTTAATTTTGTAATGTAAAATGTAAAAGTGATATGTTTTATAGAATGCTTTATGTGGATTAGTTGATTAGATTAGTACATGTATCGCTGCTAAAATAAAATAATCATCATAAAAAGTAGTTCATCACATGGGACGCCACAAAACCAGTTCCCTAAGATCATATGACAGATGACATGATGTCATTACGTAAGCCTGGTGTCATTGGTTGCAGGTTGAGCGTTCATGATTGTTATGACTACTAAGTTGTTGGAATAACAGCCTCATGGGCCTTGAATGATATTTGAAACTGAAAAAAGGAATATTTAATGATCACAAAGGAAGTAAATGATATGCTTTTATTTATTACATCCTGGCTGGAAGAAGAAAATTTGCACATTGTGAAATGTACACTGCTACACCACATACTGTAGCTGGTTTTCAATGGAACTTCATGTACGAAATTTTTCACACATTTTTGAGGAACTTTCACTTTATAGACTCTCAGTTCCTTTTGAGTCTTTTGAGAATTAAACTGTTGTAGTGCTCAAATTATTCACACACACACACACACACACACATATATATATATATGTATATATATATATATATATATATATATATATATATATATATATATAGTTTATTATGCTAATTTAATTAATCATTTTATTTATTTGGTTTAATATGACTAATTTATTTTAATTAGTTTTATTTATGAGCGATGTGGTGGCGCAGTAGGTAGTGCTGTCGCCTCACAGCAAGAAGGTCGCTGGTTTGAGCCTCGGCTGGGTTAGTTGGCGTTTCTGTGTGGAGTTTGCATGTTCTCCCTGCGTTCGCGTGGGTTTCCTCCGGGTGCTCCGGTTTCCCCCACAGTCCAAAGACATGCGGTACAGATAAATTGGGTAGGCTAAATTGTTCGTAGTGTATGAGTGTGAATGAGTGTGTATCAATGTTTCCCAGAGATGGATTGCAGCTGGAAGGGCATCCGCTGCGTAAAACATGTGCTGGATGAGTTGGCGGTTCATTCCGCTGTGGCAACCTCGGAATAATAAATGGACTAAGCCAAAATGAATGAATGAATAATTAAATGAAATTATTTAGTTTTATTTATTTATGTATTTATTTAATTGTTTTAGTTTCTTTATTTTCTTTCTTTATTTTAATTAAGTAATTTATTTTAATTAATTTATTTATTTTACTTATAATAATTATTTTATTTTATTATTTATTTTATTTATTTATTCAGTTATTTTATTTAATTTGTTTATGTAATTTATTTATTTATTTATTTTGTTTATTTTATTTATTAAAATTTTTTAAAAATAAGTTCATTCCTTCGTTTTGTGTTAGTTTTGCATAATCTTTTTCAAGTCTATTGCAGTTTAAAGTTAAGCCTTAATGGATGTGTCACAGTTACAGTATTTAGTGTTTACGTATAATTACAATTTGAACATTGATGGAATGTGTCCAATAAAACAGATGCTGATTCACAACATCCCACTCGACTCAACATTTATTACATATGTGAAGGGCACCTGATTTCTCAAAAATGAGTTTTTGTAATTACCAGAAGGTTAAGATATAGATTGTACGGAGAAAAAAAATATATATACATGTATTTATATTTATTGTATTAATTACTAGCTTTATTACATTTTTTTTTTATTTACTGTTGGTTGATAAAATTTTATATGTATCGCTAGAACATTCTATCATTGTTTATTCCCCGATTCCTAAAAATTATCATTTCATGGTTTTAGTAATGCAATAAATAAATAACAAAGTAATTCCATACAAAACATATAATGGTGGTCTTGGATGTCAAAATACTCAAAAACAAGAAATTATTCTAAAGTAAAAAGTTAAAATAAAAAAGTTGTTCCAAAATAAATAGTTTTAGAATCTAGTTTGAGTTTTCCCCATAAAACACTTCTGTATGATTTCAGATGTTATAACAACAACTTGTATGAAGCTGGATGACATGGTTAATATAAACGTTCTTTATATTAGGAATAGTTGCTAAAACCGTACACTCCACGGAACAAATCATAGCATTTTGGTTGGGTATGACATGAGGTTGAGTAAGTAATGAGAACATTGTAATTGTTGAGTGAACTGTGCCTTTAAGATAAGAGCCTTGTTGTGAAGAATTGAGCCTTGGAAATGTCATTTTCAAGCCTTTTTCAAAGAACGCTCACATGGTTTGCATTTAAGAAAAGAGCGTTTGGTCAAACCTGACTGTATGCTTGTTTTTAACATTTTCCTGCTGCCTTTTACTTGTTATCTTACCTAAAAATAAGATGCATTTTCAGCTATCTCCCAAACCCGATAATGTCAAACAAATGTCTTCAGTTTCTCTGTGCTTACACCTTCATTCTAATGCAATAGATAGTCAACACTCCAGTTTTGCTTATTATTACATTAGCACACTCTATTTGGGGTATTTGCATACTTTAGTGTAAATGTATAAAACAAAAGCTTCCGACAATGTTTGAATCCTTATCTTAAACATGACTTTCTAACTTATAGTGACTATAAGTAAAGGGATAGTTTGAATTTGAAGTTTGTCATTATTTACTTATCCTACACTGGTTCAAAACCTACCTGAGTTTCTTTTCTCTGTTAAACACAAAGGAAGATATTTTGAAAAATGCTTGTTGCTGGAACCAATGACTTTCGAATAAAAAAAATCCTACTATGGAAATTGATGGGTCTCAACAGCCAGTATTCTCCAAAATTATCTTCCTCTGTTCAACAGAAAACCGAAACTCCACATGAGGAAGAGTAAATGATGAGGTAATTCTCTGATTTGGGTGAACTGACCCTTTACATTTTGTTCTTAACAAAAAAGTGATTGCCACAGGCTGTAAAAACCATGTTTGCTGAAAGCCGCAGACTGCAATTTTTATATTAAACTCAAAACTGTTTTGTGCTCATGCATGACTCCAAAATGCTTAGAGAGTATAGATTTTATGCCTTCTGAACACCAAAACATTTGTTATGTCAATAAGTTCTATTAAATTCTTTTTGATGTTTGACTCGTTCCCATCTTATCTGCTCTCTTAATTCTAATATCAGCCTGATTGATGCTTATATAGCTGGTGTCATGGGGATAGATCTATATCAACAACTAATCTCATCAGTTCATGAAAGCTTACAAGATATTATATCTGCCTGACATCAATCCTTTTTCTTCCTCTCTGTCTTGTGCTAAAGGTTTACGAGCATCTTTGTTACTGTCAGCGTTCTTCATGGTGCTGGGCGCAGCGTTACGAAGCGTGCCCCTTAAAGACCTGTACTACAGACGCTGGTAAGACTCTTACACAATACGATTCATCCTAAAAAAGTGTTTTAGCCAAGCTGACGGTATAGGCTGGTTCCTGATCATTTGCATAATTATGCAATTCCTCAATTTCTCAATGAGATAATCCAGGCATTTTCTCAACATCTCGAATAGCCCAAAATTGTGCAAGAAATGGTGATTTTAAAAGGAATGTGTATATGCAATTGGCATAAAATGGAAATTTTACCTCATCTATTTTCTAAATAATAGTTCTACTTTTTCTTTTAGTGAACTTATAAATGCATATGTTTGCTTTTTTTCCTCTTGACTTGGATCAAATCAATTTCCAAATCAAAGTTGGCCAAATATTTTGACAGGTTTTTGACATGCAATATAATATAAAACATCCCGTAAGAATTTATTTGTTAGTACAGAAAACAGCATTTATTGAAGCCAATTCTCCATTTATTTTGAGGGTTTTTTGTTAAACAAAGATAATAGTTCAATGATAGACCACATATGCAGATAGTCAACAGTGGCCTTGGGGATTAGCGAATGACGTTTCACTTATTTATGTGAGAACTAAAAACGAAATAGCAAAAAGTTTAAAATTATTTATTTAATTTATTTCATTTGAAAGGCAAGGAATACTGGCTAAGATGCCGTATTACGAACATCTAATAATCTGACAACACACTACTTAAAATATATTTTTAACTCAATTGTTTACACTAATTATCTGTCACAAGAACCAACAGGGATAAACAATAAACTTTCAAAGTAGCAGACAAGACACAAGGCAGACAGTTGCTGCGCCAAGTCGCCTACCTGTTCTACAACCTAAAAGTGTGTGTAAAGAAAAAGTACATTCTTTTGAGTTTGCAGCAGAAGAGTAGGCAGGCTTTGGCACATCATAACTGTCTTTAATGGACTGTTCGGTTGTTTGTATTGTTACTGTCAATCATTTTGTCCCAGTTAACACCCTTTACATTTTTTGTCACTCAGCTACAATTTTTAAGATCACACCTGGCAATGATATATACAACATGTTGTATAAAAGATAAGTTCAGATAAAAATTTAGATTAAAAAGTACCATCTGTGAGATGGTGACATCTAAGGGTTTAATTTGCGAGTTTTTGAAGCAGGAATAGCAATTTAATTGCATGAAAATCTGGTCAGTTGTTTGCATAACAATACATTCAAAAGCCAATAATCAAATTTAACTTCACAAAAGGTCTCTTTACTTTGTCATAACATTATAATTACTTGGATATTTACATTTATAATTGCGTTTGATGATTTAGAGCATATACACAAGGATATAAAGTATAAAAATTGCTTATCACCTGGAGCTTTGGGCATTAATTTTGTTTTGTCTTTATACCTAAACTCAAACAGTAATGTAAACTTACATTTTGTGTGAACAATCTCTTTAAAAGTTCTCCGGTAAACTATTATGTTGTTCTATTTTATGACATTGCAGCAATTCCTGATTGGATTTCTATAGGTTGGTTCCACATTTTTGATGGTCATTTGAATATGTATGTCTTTGTCTGTTTGAAGTCTGAATTTGCACATCCAAAGAAATAGTGTTGACAGTCTCTGTTTGATAACACGCATGGCAAATAATGTATTGTGTGACTATGGCTTTTATGATCTATCTGTATTTGCAAGGCTAGATGTAGTTGTCAGCTGATTTGTGTTTTCCACTGTTCAGTGCTGCTATCTAGAGAGCGAGGTGGCCAAACATAATACAATTTAATGATAAATGAAGTCACTTATTTCACAAGATTCATACCGATGTGAAATTCATTGCAGTATATGATAAGAGAATGTGTATTATTCATTGGCAATGTTACACTGTGCAGCTGCAGGGTTTACAGCTTTTAAGATGTGACCTTTTCATTTGCTTAAATACACGGTAGCGGAAGACTCTAACAGGACTAACACGCTCTGTTTGCTTTAGATTAGGATTCTTTTACCTGTAAAATTGAATGTTCCTGTCCTCTTCTCTGCTTTGTGTTCTCTTTCCATTTTCTCTCATTCCTTCTTATCTCTTTAAGCTTTTTCATTCACACATGGCTAACATCAGCACACAAAGAAATAACTAGAGCAAGCTTCCTATTGCAGTTAGGAGAGAAGGAAACAAAGCTATATTCATTATTATTTTTTGACAGCTAATTTAACCTGTGAATGACATTTAAGCAGTGTTGCCTGAATAGCTTTGAATAAGTGTATCTTCATCATCTGTTTTCAATATATTTTAGTGAATTTGTCAACAGTATTAACTTGCGTAATAAAAAAACGAGCAATGCATAAATCATTTCAATTAATGAGGAATATTCTGTTGCCTCATTGAATGTAAATGTGCACTGCTGAGAATATTTTAGAATTTTATACATCTGTATGTAATCATGTATTTTGTTATTTTAGTCTGATCTCACAAGGAAACACAACTATTTAACATTTTGTCAGTTTAGTGGCCAAGTGCAGTCATACTTAAATTTACAATTTCAAAAAGGAGGCATGGCAAACAACCCCACCACTAAACCCAAATGTCATTGGGGGATAAGCAAATCGTACTAAATTATACTAATGAGATTTTTGAATTCATATGAATTAGCCTCTAAATCAAAAAGTTACGAATTGTGGTGAGATCGTATTGGTTATTTCCCACCTTTATCAACTCATTAATGCATTTAAAATCTGTATACAGTTTTAAAATTTTACATGTTTTTGAACTTAAGGAAACTGTAGTAACTTAATGTTTTTTTTTTTTCAATTATTACTTAAAAACAGACAAAACTCTTTTAAATGTTTTGATATTTATATGCATATATATTTATCTAAAATTTATTTTTACCAAATGAACATTTGAAAAACTTAAATATTGCTCAAAAGATTTAACAAAAATAAACTAAATAAATGTGTTTTACTTGCATAAACCAATTTTTCATGCAGAGGTTCATTCACAAAAATCTTGTGTTAATTTTGTAACTTTTTGATTTAGTGGCTAATTTGTAAGCTCTCATTCATATAATTTAGTACGATTTGCTTATCCCCCAATGACGGTTGGGTTTACAGTAGTGGTGGGGTTTGGTGCCGCACCAAAAAACTTAAATTTTTCGAACGACCGAACTCGTACAAATTTGTACGAATTAGCCACTAAACTGACAAAATGTAAAATAGTTACGTCTCCTAGAGAGATTAGACTGAATATAGTGAAACTGCAAAATATATTCAAAATTTTTAAACAATTTCATAACTTTCATAGTTTCAATTTATCGCATACCTGCCAACACTCCCGTTTTTCCTAAGAGTCTCCTGTGTTTCAGACCCATCTCTTGCCACCATCCCATTTTGTTATTTCCTCCAGAAAACTCCCGTAATTTCCCCCCGGCTCTGGTTCTCAGTTTTTTGGTACAGTCCTACAGTCTGTAACAACCCTGGGTTGCCAACTTTGGTATAGTATCTAATCGCAGCGACCGCTCAAAACCTGATCCATAGTACAATTACCAACACCACAGTACAATTACCAATTATCAACTGTGTTATTTAGATAAACACACAACGTCTCCACCACCAATCTTCTTGAATTTTAGAGACAAATCATCACCTTAGAATTATAAGGTTCTATTTGACATTTTTGTTATTAACATATTCTTTTTAACCCCTTCAGACCTGAATTATGTTCCAAATTTCAGAAAAATGGGATGTCATTTGATGTCCATTGTAATGGATGCAGGGTCTGAAGGGGTTAAAGTACAACTTATTTATGTTATGGGATGTTTTTTTTATAAGTTCTTCACATTTTAAGACTTTTCATTTAAAAAACAATGATGTTACACATACTGTTTGCTATGGAATGCAAAATTTGGAAGCTCAATATCTCAAAATCATTCAGAATGCAGATAGAACCTTATAAATCCAAGGTGACAAAATGTTGGCAGGTATGATTTATTGTGTCCTTATTAAAAACAAGTTTTAGGATTTTTTTTGTTTTGTTTTTTGTTTCTTTGTATTTCACAACAAAAGACCGTGTACATATATCAACGTATAAGTGTCTATAAGAATGTAAATTTACCCAAATTAGCCCAAAGACTAGTTTTCATTGGTGGTCCCAAGTTGCCAGATGTTAAAGGCCATACCAATCAAATACAAATTCAAACTAAAACATTACTCAAATAAACAATAGAATACAACAACAACATCAAAAAGCCTGGTGTTCACAATATTGATTTTTAAAAAAGCTTTTTCTTAAAATTATACTTAAATGACTTTTTCACACATTCTCTAACAGATTGCAATATAAATTTCCACTGATTTGCTGCTTTAAAAGAAAAACTAGCTTGACCAAAATTTGTTTTTCTTAGTGGAATAAAACAATCAGCTCTAGCTGCACCCCGAGTAGGCATGAGACGATTAACTTTTTTTTTTTTTTTTTTAACTAGATGTATACCGCTGTTTGGAAAAGTCAAGGTTTTAAAACTGCCAACATTTTCTGCTATACCATACCATTATAAGCAAGATTTTTTATTATATTTATTTATTTTATTTTTATTTTATATTTTATTATATTTATTTATTTATATCCAAAGATGACATTTTAAATTGTAAGAAATATGTTACAAATATGAAACAAATATTATAATAATAATTAATAATAATTAATTAATAATAATTTGAATTATTTACCTCACGATTATTGTTCCAAAATATTTTAAATGTTTCTCAAAATAAAATATATTTTGTTCAAAGGGGAAACGTTTTTGTTGTTTACCCAGACATTTAAAAAGAATATATTTTAGAGCAGTAATCACAATACCATCATACAGTGAAACCGTGATATTTTTTTACAAGGTTATCATACTGTCAGAATCTTATACCAGCCCATGCCTAACCCCAAGTCACTCTGTTTTCTGCAGAGTAAAACTGGAATCATAGAAGGGGAGGAGCTACACCATGCATACTCTTGTTCTTATCTCATAGTTATATGTAGTTTGAATTTCCATACAAGTACAGTTTT